TTTCTATACAGCGTTGTGCAATAAACCAACCACAGTATTATTGTAAGAGTTTTGTACGGAAATGGAAACGACCGAGGCCACAAAACCCGAGTAGTTTTAGAAGAAAATGTATATATTTTTTACACGATTTTAGCGATGTCTCAAACGAGCAACCGAAAGCAATCTTTTGAATATTTGTACATAGACTTTGAGTGGATACTCGCCTGGGTTTTTTCTTTACCGCGTCATTTTCGGAATCAGGCCTTACTCATCAAAATTCGACCGAAAGCAATACTTACTGATAAAATTCATATCATCGGCAGGCAGCAGTATCGACTCGGAAGGAAAATGTGTTTTATTAAGAGTAAAATAGCCATTTGTATTTTCAATAGCTATAGACTTTTTTAGTTTAGTATTAAAAGAAAAATTGATATGTGTATTGTCTTGTGAATACATTTATATAATATTAAATGAAAAGCTTGTTTATTTCTCCCGATTCCAATTTCGTTTTGTTCTACAAATATTTTGTGAAATGAAAGATGATGACAAAAAGTAACTGTAGTACTATAGTTCGTAGAATTTCAATATATTTCTTTCATTTCAAATAATAACACATATATTCAGGAAAAAAGTTTGTTTCACTTCCTTATTCAGAGGAATTGGGAAAATTTCGGATATGCAGTTGGTTAGTACCTCGTCCACTAGATGGAGTGACATTTTGTTGTTCGCTCCAACTTAGGAAGAGGAATGAATTACTCTGAAAGAATTCCGATTTTCAATTACACTTCCCCAGTAGGTGGAAGCATGCGGTCGTCGTCATGATTCCAAAACAGGGTCAGAACCCGCTGTTCCCACAGAACTATTGCCCGATAAGTCTACTCTCTTCGGCGGCTAAGCTGGCTGAAAGAGTTATTCTCCAAAGGCTCAACGAAGAAGTTGAGGACCGAAATGTTCTGCCTGATGAACAATTCGGCTTCAGGAGAGAGAGCTCACAGAAGAAGCTGTTAGAGCCTGACCTGTTTCTGCGAACTTAACTGAATATCGTTGCGACATCTACTGGCTATGCATTCGAACTTCTCAGTCAGTTAATTGAACACAGATGGAACTATACTCCAGTTCCCAGAGACTAAAAAAGGGGCTCACCTTACAAAAGGTGGGGTAGAAGATTTTATTTTTTTATTTCGTTTTAAGGGGTATAGAGAGTGAAATATAAAAAACGTTACTAAATCTGGGATCGGCACAACTTTTGGTAGCCGAAAAACCTCCAAAATTTCGGACAATTTTCGGTTTACTTTATTCCAATACTGAACATGAAAATTATTCTCTTTCAGTTGAATTTTAGCACTTTTCAACATGAATTGGTTAAGGCTTTCGCGGCCAAGATTTTCAGTGTTACGATCTTCGTTCGGGTTTGAAGGCCGTCGTGGTTTGGAACTGTATCCCAACGTTTCGCTAGCACGAGTGACTGGCTTCTTCAGAGGTCTATTCATCCTGATGGTTCACCGATGACTCGTGATTTCTAGTTCGTAAGCTGTATTTATGTTGATACAGGTAGCCCCCCTTTCTAGTTGGTGCGTTGTTATTGGCCGAAGTGTTATTACATTGCGTTGCACTGCTGCCACTTTAGCATCTTTGGCCGAAGTGTTATCACCTGTTACATTGCGTTGCACTACTGCCACCTTAGCATCTTTTAGTATGGGATTCCAAATCCGGTTAAGCGTTATCGTCTCCTCTTTTCTGTTGTAGTTTTATGTATGTTTATGGATTTCTATGGCTTCCCTTACAAGCCGACTGTGGTATCCATGATTGGGTGCAAGTAATTTCACATCTTCAAACAGTATCGTATGATCTCCTTCACCAAAAGCGTGTTCCGCTACTGCCGATTTTTCTATTTGACCTAATCTACAGTTTCTCCGATGTTCATTCAGCCTTGTTCCCATGGATCTTTTGGTGGTACCGATATAAACTTTTCCGTAGGTGCATGGTATACGGTATACCCCCGCAGCTGAGAGTGGATCTTTTTCATCTTTCGCAGATCTCAGGCTTTGCTGTATTTTCTTGGTGGGCTTGAACACCGTTTTCATGTTATGCTTCCTTAGGATTTTTTCGATTCTATCTCTAACCCTAGGGATGAACGGTAGAAATGCACGTGCAACCGTTTGAGTTTCCTCCCTATTTTGATTTGTAGAAGTCTTCAGTTTCATGGCCTTGTTGATCTCAACACTATGGTATAAGAGACATGACCCTGAAGTGGATGGAATCATATTTGAGAGGACAAAACCAACTGGTTAAAACTGATCATACATCCTGATTACTTAAAGTTAGTTGGGGAGTACCCCAAAGATCAATTTTAAGTCCATATCTATTTCTCCTGTATATAAATGACTTTCCCTTTCAGATATATCTGGTTTCTTCACTTCATTTGGCCGACGACACTACCAATCTATGGCACTCTGAAGATGTAAATTTGCTTCGAAAAAATTTTTCAAGGGACCAACAAAAAATTAGGTCGTGGTGCGATGCCAATTTTCTATATTTAAATTTCAATATAACAAAATTTCTTAAATTTAAATGTCTTCTTTTGGATATAGAATTAGGTGCTGGTTCTATATTATCTGACAACATTTTTGGTTGTATTCTCGAATTATATTTGTAGGGAATTCAATGTTCTACAACTTTGTATAGGGACTGTTTTTCGCTAGATCCACTCCTTTTCGAGATATTGCGAAAAAACCGAAAAATGTCTGAAAATTTCGAGATTTTTCGGCTACCAAAAGTTGTGCCGAGCCGAGATTCAGTCACATTTTCTATATTTTACTCTTTATACCCATCAAAACGAAATAAAAAAATGAAATCTTCTACCCCACCTTTTGTAAGGTGAAATCCTCTGGGAACTGGACTACTAGACTATTATTAAAACAGTTTCAAATGACTACGAAACTTTATACACAACATGGACTAAGTTTATATGAATGTCCCTCAAATGTTTTAACATTGTTTTATCAATTAAAAGTATAGTAATTGTTTATAATTTCATGTCAGTTGCAAGTTGATAGATGTTGATTGAGATCTATCAAAGCCACTTACTTTATTCCAATACTGAACATGAAAATTATTCTCTTTCAGTTGAATTTTAGCACTTTTCAACATGAATTGGTTAAGGCTTTTGCGGCCAAGATTTTCAGTGTTACGATCTTCGTTCGGGTTTGAAGGCCGTCGTGGTTTGGAACTGTATCCCAACGTTTCGCTAGCACGAGTGACTGGCTTCTTCAGAGGCCTATTCATCCTGATGGTTCACCGATGACTCGTGATTTCTAGTTCGTAAGCTGTATTTATGTTGATAGAGGTAGCCCCCGTTTCTAGTTGGTGCGTTGTTATTGGCCGAACTCTTATTACCCGTTACATTGCGTTGCATTTGAAATCATTTGTCAGCAACCAATCGACTATATCGTCAGATTTTTAAATTTCGTCCAACTTATCCACAATAAATGGAAAAAAAACTTACCGAAAAGTGAAAACCTGAAAACACTTTTAAATTGCAAGAGAACACTTCAAAAACACATACAAAAACAAAAATATTACCAAAAAGCACTGCTATAATACAATACTGCTTGTTTTATACACAAATAACAAATATTATCAAGAAAACACTAAAACGATATACCGAAATATTTTTCGGTCCCGGTCCGTCACGGCATCCCGTCCGAATAATTAAATAAAAAACAAACGCAGTCGTACACTAACGGAGACCAACTGGAGGCTAGCCTCCTCTAACGCTATAATTTCTGCAACTAAAATTACAAATCGCTGGTTAGATCGGTCTTGCGGAGCCTGTGTTTTTTTAAAGCGGTCGGAGGCTTGGCTCCCTTGCAAAGCATGGCATTTATTAATTCTGGTTGATAGTTTCTTCGTTATTCGTTCATGGGCGGTGCGTTTGAGTTTTGTTGATACAGGATACAGTGTGGTACGTACTACATACTGAGTGATAGTGTTTTTTCGGGCATATTATGTATTTATATTAAAAATTAAAGGCATTTCTAGAAAAAAATAATATAATTATTTGTCAATATCTTTTAATTTATTGCGATGAATAGCCTCAAATTTTATGGGGAGGCTAAGCCTCCCTTGCCTCCTCTGACGAGTCGCCGCTGCTACAATCTACGTTTTACGTTACGAGATTTCACTAATATCGATTACATTCAATGCAAAATTTATTAAGACGGCTCTGAAAAATCAACCCACATACCCGCATGTCTTTTATTAGAGCGATCAAGTGCAGTAAATATAAAACGGAGAGATTTATTTGTTTTCGTGATGTAGAACACTCAGCATCTTTTACCGAAGGTGAAAATAATTTGTCATACGTTTGGCTGGTATTTGAAAACAAGAACACTTGTCATTCGTACTGTACTCGAATTTTCTTCACTTTGCAGGATTATACATCGTATGTAACGGTTATTTTTGTAACCAGATTGCTGCATGAAGGTGGGTGGTTTTGAATGAGTGGGTACCATTTCGACGGTTTCAAAATCGTTTTTAAGCCAGTCGACTCGCGAATATAAGACCCTCCAAAATACTTGACTTCGCAAACTGAGATATAATAAGCCGTCACAGTAATACTAATATCTCCTTGATAAAGGGTACTGAATACTGAATGATATATCATAACGGAAGTTGTTAAATAATTCATCTAGTTTTGCTTCAATGTTCTTGCAAAACTATTGAGTCACATATGTATCTGTGGAGTATCTGTACATCTTCAAAAAGAGTTGTTCTCCTAGGTCATCGTCCATCCTGTCCTTTTCAGGAAGGTCACTAGGAGACATCTCCTTTATATTGGCAGGTGTAAGCCAAAACTCGCCGAACACACACTCTCTTTGGCAACCTTGAGGTGTTTCA